CGCCTCCAGGAGCTGCACCTCCACCCGCCCTGTGGCCCTGTCCTTGTCTGCTCCCTCCTGCTGCAGCTGTGCCCGACACAGGACGGGGCCAGTGGGCCCTGCCGTCCCTCCGTCCACGGGCCAGACTTCCACATCCCGCCCGGACGGGACCCCATCCAGCGGCCATCTCCCCAGGGACTCCCCCTGAGCTCGCGCGACCCCCAGAGGCAGGAGCTGGCCTGGCAGGGCGGTCGCCTGGTGCTGCTGCTGCTCAGTGGCCCAGAGAGGCCCAGCACTGTGCACCTGTGCACTTTTCTGTCCCCAACGTCCACTCCTGCTGTCCTGTGCAGTGGACAAGGCAGCGCCTCCCCCAGGCCCCTCACCTGGGCCGCCGCACACCTGCCCGTCGTAGCGCTCGCAGTTCATGTTATCACATTCGCAGTAGCGCCCGTAGATGACCTTGTTGGGGACGTCGCTGGCGTGGCACACGCACTGCCCACACACGCAGTCCCCCAGCCCTGAGCACACAGCAGAGCTGTTGTCCTTCCGGCAGCTTCCCTCAAGCTCCTGGCTGCTGCGGCCTTGAGTCTGACACTCGCAGCTCTTCCCGATGTAGCCAGCCTCACACCTGGAGCGAGGTATGGGCTCAGGTCTGCCCACCCTGCCCAATGCCTGCTCTCCCCGCAGAGGCTCCTGAGCCAGGGAACCCAGGCGGGCATGGCGACCCCGCCCCCGTGATGGGGGGCAAGCTTCGGGCTTGGCGGGAGGAAGTGGGACAAGGGTTGGGGCCCCTGAGCTGCAGCTGGGTTCCTGAGCAGACGCCCACCCCGGAGCCCGGCCCTCACCTGCAGACACCACACTGCATGGAACCCCTGTCCCCGCACAGGCCTCGGTTCTGCCGCTGGTCCCGGCAATGGCACTCGCACTGGGGCAGGACCCGCACCGTCACCGCGTCCGTGAACCCCAGAGCCCGGATGTCAAAGGTCGGCGCCTGGACGCACTGTGTGGCGGTGACCTTCACCTGGAAGGTGACCTGAGGGCCAGTGTGGGGGCTCAGGGGGGACCCCGGGAGACCTCCTGTCCCTCTCCTGGCCATGGGGAATGCGCGCAGCTGGTGTGGGGGGAGGGTGCCGGTGCTCCGGCCCCTGGGAGGCGCAGCTCCATGGGCAGGAGGATGAGCAGAGCCCAGGGTGTGACAGCCAGGGCGGCCAGGAGGCTCTGGCCCTCCTCAGAGCACTTCGGGAACCCAGCCCAACCCGCTCCACGCTGCCAGCAGCCGCCACCAGGGGGCGCTGTCCGACACCAGTTTGTTCCCTGCAGGGACCCGGCCTCCCCTCTGGGTTGATGAATCTGGCGCCAGGCGAGGAGTGTGTGTCCCTCCCGTCCTCTCCCAGCCTCACGGTGGGGCCCACGCTGGAGGGCCTGGCCCGTCACGCAGGAGGCTGCGGGAAGCAGGCGGGGCGCAGGTGGACGCCGCTGCTGGCTCCTCCCACCGACCCCGCCCAGCTCCTTCCTCCCTGTCCCCGC